AAAAGAAACCTAATTAAATCCCTTGCCACTCGCGCCAGACGCATCTGCAGCTCCGACACCATGGAAGAAGAACTAAACTTCCTGAGGGAAATCTTCATACAAAATGGCTACCCACCAAGATTCGTAGAGAAAAACATCAAACAGAAAAACCAAAAGCAAGAGACATCATCCGTGCCAAAAAAGATACTTTATATGAACCTAGACTTCAAAGGAGACCTACTTAGTGACGTCCTCAGAAGGAGAATTTCCACCTCTTTAGGAAGAACTTTCCCTGCGGCAACACTAAGAATAGTGTTCTCCAGTCGCCCGCTGATCTGCAGAAACCCAAAGGACAAGATTCCGCACATGACCGCTTCTATGTGTATATATCAGTTCACCTGTTGCTGTGGAGCCAGGTACATCGGTCGTTCAACGCGCATCCTGTCAAAAAGGGTCAAAGAACACTATCCAGCGTGGCTACGGAAAGGAAATAATGGCCATATAAGGAGTGCAATAATCGAACATCTCGAAAAAAAGTGGTTGAGTGGCAGTATAACAAATGTGTGAAGTGGGTGCGAAAGTGTACAAAAGGAATATATGGGAGTGATAATAGTGAATTAATTATTAAAGTAAAAGCAAACGAAAATTACAATTGTTCTAACTTGGTCTAACCTTTCACGAGTCGTTTCCTGTAAATTGTTTATTTTTATTTACTTTGCATTTACTGTAATGATTATTTCACTATTATCACTCCATATATTCATTTTGTACACTTTCGCACCCTGTTCACACTTGTTAAACTGGCACTCAACCACCTTTCTTCTGACTCAATAACAATTTTAACTTTATCAATTCCTAACCACTTTTTTCCTTTGTGCAGTTGAGTACTACTTAGTTTACATTTTATTTTTTGCTTTTGAAGCTACTTCTGAGTGATTATATATCAATTATGTCATCCGCTATTACTCGATAATAAACCACTATACATTTTTGATAGATATATAAGTATGACTGTACAGCCTCTGAAGATGATTTCGTCGATAAAGAAAATTTCCTTCGTTGGATTTGTCTTTTATTTTCTTAGGTGTTTTTATACAAATCAAAAAAACATTTTAAAATATGACAGAAAAGTATTTTCTGTTGCTTACAAATATCTGACCATCCTTGAGGGAAAAATATTTATGATCATATCCAGGGGAGTTAAGTAAATAAGTTTAATAAATATGTTTACCAAAATAAAAAATGAGTACAATCTGTTAATAAAGATGAAGTATCGTCTTCACTAGTGATGACTATGGACTATGATCCAGCATTTCACTATGGAGTTCTGAATCTTGTGAAGAGTAACATGTTAACAAGTAGCTATTATTCTGCTGAGTTGCAGTGGTAAGTTCATGTATTTGCACGGTAGTTAGGCATTTCAACATCCAAAGTGGAGTAAATTCTGTAGATACGGAATCATTATCCCAGGTAAAAAGGTATATTTTGGATAGAAATCAGCTCTAAATGTGAAAATATTATAATTATAAAAGTTAAACTTTATACCAGTGAGGTGAAATACGAAGCGTACACGACATAATTAAATTCAACTTTAAAACTCTTCATCGCTGCAGTTCACAAACAAATTAATTTGAGGGTGAGTTGTGATAGGCTTCTCTGAGTATCACTCTAACCTTGATTTTTATCAGCACGTTGTAAGTATAGTAACATTTCCCTTACAATTAAGACAAATGATTTCACACTTTTTTAAATTTATGTAGTAATTTCCTCATATAGCTTGCTTCAGTTACTCAATCACAGGTTGTGCTACACATCGGGAAGTTTGCAGGGATTTGCATGCAACAATACCCCACACGTATATGGACAGTGCTTTTGGCATTTAAGAGGAATCGATGTACAAATATTTCATGTCGAAAAGGGATAAGAGTTAATTAGGCATAGTATACGTGATGCAATGTATAGTCATACACTAGTCACCGATGATTTGCAGTGAAAACGTATTTATTCTCAATGATGAAGCTGAAGCTTTTTGGAAGAATGTGCATTCAACCTGTCAATCAGTTATTCCCCTCTGTTAATTATTGTCCTTCTCTGAATTTCAAATCTTCTTAGATTTGTACTATTTGAGAAAAGTTAACCGTATGCATTGCTGAAGTGCTTGAGTTCCATTGGCAAAGGAAACATTCAAGTTTGTTATTTGTTCTGAAGTCTGAAAAATATAATTTCAAATATTGAACGTGATGCAGTGATAAGGAAACTTCACAGTGTAACAACAGAAGACAAGGGCCAGGCAACAGATCGTTTTATTATGAAAATCAACACGTATTTATACATATTTCAACTACATTATTATAGACAAGCGCAGTCATCTGATTGGTTGTTTATCAGAAGTTAGGTAAACAAACGCAGGCTTCTGATTGGTTGTTTCGGGATTCCTTGACAAATAGAGTTCTCTATCTGCGAATCATATTTTGCCACGTTAACTTTGCTGTGATTGGTTGTTGACTCAGCCTTGTTCATATTTTCTCTCGGCCCATATTAGTGACCTAGACCTTAACGTAGATTAGTGCCAACCAATCGGCTAGCAGCCTGCTCTCACCACACTCGTCCCCCCGTCAAATACGTGCGACTGAAGTCGGCTTGATCTACTTGGTGCAGGCGTCATCGTTGGCTTGTCTCGCTGTATCCATTTCTGGAGCTCGCTGACGTTCACGCGCCTCTTATTGTTCGCCATTGCGACTGTGTCTGCGTAACCCCATCTCGAAGTGACCATATATGGTCCTTCCCGCTTTGGAAACTGTTTGCCTGACCCTGTCGAACATTCGTCCATACTTCGGCTCACACATTCATATGCTGCTTTCACCCGACCTCCCAGCAGCGTCCCAAGTAGCAGCTCCATCGCTGACAGATCTTGAACGCCACTCAACTGCGCAGAAGCCTTGAAGTCCTGCCCGAAGATCCATATGTCTCCATCAAAAACAGCAGGGCATAGGCTTTCCATCTGTCGGTAGGCAGCGACACCAAATGTAACAACAGAAGACAAGGGCCAGGCAACAGATCGTTTTATTATGAAAATCAACACGTATTTATACATATTTCAACTACATTATTATAGACAAGCGCAGTCATCTGATTGGTTGTTTATCAGAAGTTAGGTAGACAAACGCAGGCTTCTGATTGGTTGTTTCGGGATTCCTTGACAAATAGAGTTCTCTATCTGCGAATCATATTTTGCCACGTTAACTTTGCTGTGATTGGTTGTTGACTCAGCCTTGTTCATATTTTCTCTCGGCCCATATTAGTGACCTAGACCTTAACGTAGATTAGTGCCAACCAATCGGCTAGCAGCCTGCTCTCACCACAACAGCATATATTGTACTAGATTTCTTTTAAACGAATCATTTATGCGACTATTTCTGTCAGATGTCAGAAGGTCCAACCCCCTGATGCATGTATTGACTCGAGTTTTGCACAAAACTGTAAAGAAGATATCATATTCAACAATGAGGGAAAGTCCAGATCTTTATGTTATTATACTTACCCGGTGACATTACGCCTAGATTTGAAGCAGTAAACAATAAGTTAAGCCTTATCGAATCATATGCTTGTGTAAAATAAGAAATGTATTTGGGGACTGTTGAAATGGTAGAAGTAGGGTTAGTTTGCACTTAAAGATTTCACTTGTTTGCTCAATATGTCACGCCTAATTACGTGATAATGCAGTTATTTGCTGTGATTTTTGCTGTGATACTATTTGCCTTCACTTGAACAGTCTTCATATCACGCTCGTGGTTTACGCTAATTCCAGGTACTATGCATATAAGACGATACACGTCTATCGTAGTCTGCGTTGCAACGGTATCCAGTGTCGCTACAGCTCATCTTAAATCATCTGCATGAGATCAGAATGTCTTATTGTTGTTCACCAGCCATGGCCAACAAGAAGAACAAAGTGGTTCGTCCTGAAAACTATTGTTTTCCGGTCAAATTTTTATCTTCTTCACATATCAGTGGACGAATACCGATTTTTTCATAACAATCTGTCTTGTAATTTTCAAATGGGTGGAATAAAGAGTGAACCATTTCAAAACGTTCATGTTTCACAAAGAGACCACTTCAATTTCTAGCAGTAGATTAGTCAAGAAGCTCGAGTTCAAAGTGTAACAATGATTCGCTCATTATGAAATTATTACTCCCAGCGCATTTTGTAAAGGAAATCTAGTTCATTCGGATATTTCACTCTTCCCTCTGAGTGGTATACAGAAAATTGTAATTACTCGAATTGGTAGAATTCTTTAATTGAGCAGAAAGTGCCATATTATAAAGTTAATTGAGAAGACAAGGCCGTAAGAAATTTGAAAAGTAGATACAAATCATAGAATAGTGATTAAAGTCTGTTTATTAGGTATGACAGAGTGACACAGTCACATTTACTGCTATATGAAATGACTTTATCCAGTATGGGAATGTACTTTACCAGAGTGGCTAAAATATTCTCGTATATCGGGCACGATTCACTAGAATACACTGCAAAATATATGCTTGTCTACATATGTTTATTATGAGAAAAGTTTTTTGCTGTAACCATTGCGAACACTGTAACTTTCATAAGTTCAAATGAACAATAAATAAATACTGATTAGGATATTAAAGTAGATGTACTGACTTCCAGGTCACTGCATTCTTTCTATAAGTGAAAACAACAAGAATATTTTTATTGAAATTCTTACTAAAGATATTATTTATTGCATGGAGGATTTCATCATAAGTTGACAGTATTTAGAGAACCACTGGAAAATCTGGGAGTACTGGACAGCTATTTCGTCCCAGTTTGGACTTTGCAGCAGTACGCACGCACCGCTAGAGTTCAAACTCAGGTCCTTCTGGATACAAGGCGAGCTTGTAGACCATTGAGCCACTGGGACCCGATCCATTGGCCATCCCATGAATTCTAACTTCAGCCAATACACGACATAGCTGCCCCATCTTCGACCTACCGTGAAAAGTAGGGTACAGCAGTAACTCATCGAAGAAGACATTGCGAAACAATCGCGCTATGTCGTGAATTTGCAGAAGTTAGAATTTAAGAACCATTGGATCGGGTTCCAGTGGCTCAGTGGTATACTAGCTAGCTCGCTGTGTAACCAGAATGCTCTGGGTTCGCACCCTGGTGGGTGGGTGCGTCCTGATGAAGGGTTTCAAACTAGGACGAAATATTTGTTCAGTTCACCTGGGTTTATTCTATGTTATCATTTGGTGCGTGCTGCCGATGCCCCAAACTAGGATGAAACAGCAGCTGTCCAGTACCCTTTCATTTTCAATGGTTCTCTAGGTGATATCGATCTGTGATCAACTCGTAAAAACAGAATTAACCTTTACAAACAAAACTATAGAAAACGATGATATCACAACCATGTAGAAAACTTACAGATTTGATAGAGTGCCTGTTCTAATGATCATTTAAGCATGAAGTGTAAAGCGATAGGGTACTTTAATCTTTATCATATAAATAATAGTAAATAATTAAACCTGTGAACCACATCAACCTGAATAGCAGAAAAGTGATTCCGTATGTTTTGTAGGAGAAATGATTAGAAAAATCGATTTGAACGACCCAGAAACTAGTGTTAATTGAAGATGGAAAAATACATTCCACACGATGTCAATAGGCAAAAGAGCTCAGTTCTCCTCAAGTTCGCTGAAGCAATTTCCATCAAGCGCCTGAAAACTGATTTATGCTTCAAGAAAAAAGCGGTTATCAGGCTTTATTTGTCCTGGTAACTGGATATGTTTTTCATCTCTCTTTCATCTGCATGCAAAATGCTGAAAGGTTTCTATTGTGTATGATTTTTATTGTTCGGAATAGTGTTTAATATTACATATGCGTGTATATATTAATACTCTATGCATATATTGATCAATTGATTTTTGTTGAAAATGAACTCTGTGCAAGTATGTTAAAATTGTTTTTGTAAATATACTTAATAATGTCTTTGCCCTGTTAGCAGCTGACGAGAAGGCAATGAAATAAAAGATGGTACTACTTTATTCTGCTAAAACTGTAGTGTTTGCTTTGTTCAAATTCATACGATGTCATATGTCTTTGTTATATCCACAAACATAAGGGCATATAACTGACCAGTTGACATAACCCATTATTTGGAAGTGTTATCCGACTTTCGTGTATGATACAAGATAAACAACAATTACTCACGCAGATTCTAGGTAGCTTGATTAAAAATCGGGAAAGTAATGCATTTTTGGTTTAATAGTAACACTAACTACTAGCAATATTGCTAATAAATAATGACCAAATTTCAGCAACCCAAATCCAAGTTTATTTCTTTGATACTAAATAATGATATTGGAAAATATTCAAAATTTCTCAGTTATATACTCACCTGGTTATGTTAGCTCCATATTCACTAAAAATGAAATAATAATAAAACAGTTAGATAAAAATGAGAAAATTTAAGTGATTCATTTAGAAATTTTCAATTCTTTGATTTCAAACTAAACCTTCTTCAGTCTTCATTCAATATGATTATGTTCAGGTGAAGCTGCAAACAGCAGAGGTGGTAATGATTATTTGGCCAACAGTGACAGCAACAACAAGAGCCAACAGTCAGCATAAATGGGAGGAGTCTATAAGAAGCAACCACCTTTATCCACTGACCTGGGAAGCACCGTGGCAATTACATGTGGAACTGATGAGGGTATCAAAGCAAGTTTCGGGAAAGCAAGACAAGTTTTCGATACTCGCAAGTCTGTGTGGATATCAATAGCACCCAGCATGAAAAATAACATTGGGATTTTCAACTCCAACGTGAAATCAGTGCTACTATACATATCAATGACTTGGCGCCGCTTCCCGAAGGGCACTTCGATCAAACTGCAGACTTTCATCAACAGCTGTCTTCGATCAGTACTACTCAAGATCAGATTGCTGGCCAGAAATTATCAGCAGTAGTGAGGGATCTCTGGGAGCAAACCAACCCAGCAGGAACCAATTGTGCAAGAAATAAGCAGGAAGAAATGGAGGTGGATTGAGAAAAGCATCAAGTGACATGACACTCCAGGCTAAAGCTAGAGTGAAATCCGAATGGGAAGCAGCGAGTTAGTCGTCAGTGCGATGGTAAAATGGAGTAGGTGATGCAAACAAGAAATCAAAGCATGTCTGCAGACATGGAGCCAGGTGAAAAGGTTGGAGGAGAACCGAACACAATAGAGACCTGCGACTGAAGCCCTATGTTTCTCTAAGAACTATAGGAGAAATAATATTAAATAATAAGGACTATGAGTAATAGACTGTGTTCAAAACATCGTCATTCAGTTAATAATAATAATAATGCTGTTTCACTGTGTGATATATCTATTAAACAAATTGGTATGGAAGCATATTCCAACCATATTCACAGTTCTAACTAATTTGATTACCTGTGTGTATGAATCCTGTAACCACTGAAAAAGGAAGGTGAATAAATGTTAACATAGCTGGATAATTTGTCAATAACGAATGCATTTTTTTCAAGTAAACAGCTAGCTTATAAATAAAATAAGTGACGTGTGCTTTATGTGTTGACATGAGCTGTGTTCATTTTTTGTCCAGAGAAGTGTTGAATTTCCACAATAAACAAGGATGTTAAGAAGCATTCGAAGGAAACAACATCTTCAGCGTTTTTACATAATGTTTTAAAAAATATCACTCACAGTTGGTCAGCCATATTTTGCCTTGAAATTAGATTCCAAAAGGATAATTAATGACACACTCAGAATGTTTTGAATACATCTGTTTCACTGCAATCAGTATTATATATAATACGTTAAAGATTTATGTATTATAGTGGCGGATATTTTAATGCCTTGCCTTGTGACAATGATTACATGGAACGCGTATGCATGTGTATTATCAAGCCATGATTAGGAATCACTGGGAGTCGGTATGCGTGGATTGGTTGGAAAAAGCATTACATAATACACACTTAATATAACTTCATTACCAATTGTGGCAATGAAGACTTAAAACTTCTTTTGGAAAAATAATAGTAATTGAGAGAATCAATCAAGACAATTGGACGAATTTCCAGAAACTTACAGACATAATGATTCCGAAAGCCTGAGAATAATTGTATCAAACGTATATATATATATGTATATATATATATATATATATATATATATATACGAAGACGTTATATTTTGGTTTTAATGCATTCATCCTACTCTGACCAACAAATTCCACCTTCACAATTAACACACACATATTACAGGAAATGACATTTTAAGTATTTCCGATTGATTAACATGACTGGAACTTGGGTCGTTTCATTCCCTATAGTTTTCAGCCTAATATCAACAACCAAAAATGCTCATTGAATCACCTTTGAAATTTTTTATCACCACACAAACTGATATACACTGGTAAGATATACACCACTTTTTTCTCACGCATTCAGTAGAATGCATCGACACATAGGCCTGAAGAAAATAATGACTAAAGTCAGCCGAAAGTAGGATGAAACGGTCCCACTTCTGGCAGCCTTCAGTGTAATGAACAAGTAAGCGAACTCAAATCTCCTAAAAATCACAGAATCCGTTGCTATTAGTTGATGAATTCATAGAGCAACCATTGTAAGTTAATCTGCCTTGGGAACTTCACTTCAAACCTTTGTTTGATTATCTCACTCTTCAATCAATTAAATTATTGATTTCTTTTCACTCTTATATAGTGATACCACTACTTATAAGATGGCGTCGTATTTCTGACACTCGGATGAAACAGTTGAACTCACAATAGCTTCTGCCCGATTCTATTTGTTGAAGCAGAGTAACTACCGTGATCTTAGAATTTAGGGATATCAACATTTTGTGGCTACCCCTTTTTGACGTATTCTAATGAAACTTGAAAAATATTACGTATATAATTGCAACTGGAGTTTCCTGCAGGCCAAAGTGAGTGCTATTGATAGTGACATTTCGATCAATGCTGCTGAAAATGGCTGCCCAGCTTTCTCGTTCAGTAAGATCAATCGGCATCAAATTCAAAATAATTCCAACAAATAGAAACTGCCACTTTAACTTTAAAAGGATTTAAAGCGTCTCGTCAAAGCTTGTCATCATCGAGAGATTTGTAATTTGAATAACTTGATTGGTGTGAAGCTGTGCAGCCGGTTAAACAAGTCAATCATGGATAAACCTTGGAAGACGTTTGCGAATTGCGCCTATCAAATTACGAATTTCACATCACAGTGTGTTTTTCTCAGCAGTACAATTATTATCAATAGGCATCTTAAAATATATTAAATTACATAAGATTTGAAAATAAAATATATATGATGCAAGGTATTCTCACATAATATCCACACTATTCTTCCTAAAGTGAAAGTTAAATATTCTAAGATGTAAATATGGTAACTGAATGGAAGCAATAAACGGTCGCCGACAACATTTGCTAGAGATCTATTCATCCTCTATCAGCTGCATTAGTCTCTTTGATATTCCAGAAGTGAACTAAAGTATGATTTCACCTTTTCCTTTAAACATAACGATTCAGTGTACGAATGTTTAAACCAGTTTAACGACACTTCGCACAATGACTCCATTGTAGTCGTCATACCTGTTAGAATGTGTATTAAATGAAAATCAACTTTGTAAAAAATATATAAATATAATGACTTACATATGTTCTTCCGTTATTCTACAAAACATTATCGTATGCATCATCTGCACATCATGGTATCTCTATGGAATTAATTTAATTTTAGTAGTCAGCGTATAATCGAGACGGGAGTAAGACAAGGCTGCCTACTATCGCCAATGATTTTCCTGATTGCAGTAGATTGGATAATGTGACAGACAGCAGGCAACGAGAAAATAGGTATAAAATGCACCCACACAAAAATACGTGGAGGATCTGGACTTCGCCGATGATGGTGTATGTCTGATTTCCCATAAACTGGAAGATATGCAAGTGAAAAGTAACAAGCTGGCAAAAGAAGCATCCAGAAAAAATAGGACTTCAGGTTAACACAGATAATACAAATGTGATGATGAAGATTCCTGGCCATAACCAACAGCAACAACAACAACAACAGACAACAATCAGCCAGGATTAATGCGAGGAACCTGAAAGAAACAGCCTCCTTTACCTACCTGGGAAGCGTCGTGACAACTACAGGCGGAACTGACAAGGATTTCAAAGCCAGAATCGGAAAAGCAAGACAAGCTTTCATTACTCTCAAATCTGTGTGGAGGTCAACAGCACTCAGCATGAAAAATAAAATCCGGATTTTTTACTCCAATGTGAAGTGAGTGCTACTGTACGGATCAGAGACTTGGCCAGCGCGTCATAAAGAGCATCTCAAACAAACTTCAGACCTTCATTAACAGTTGTCTTCGTTCAGTACTCAAGATCAGATGGCCAGAAAAGATCAGCAACAGAAGGGATCTGTGTAGTGAACCAACCAGGAACCCATTGTGCAACAAATAGGCAGAAGAAATGGAGATGGATTATCCATACTCTGAGGAAACTATCAAGCAAGTGACGTCACTAGACAAGCCCTCGAGTGGAACCCGAAAGGGAAGCGGTGAGTTGGTCGTCAGTGCTAGGATGACTTGGAGAGGTCATGTGAAGAGGAATGAAAGCATATAGGCAGACTTAGAGCCAGGTGAAAACTCTAGCAAAGTACCAAACGCAATGGAGACGCGCAGCTGAATCCCTATGTTTCTCTAGGAATTAAAGAAAATAATAATAATAGTAGTCAGCGTGAAATTTTCTAACAAAGATGAATTAAAAGGAATTAAATGCATATCCACGATCTCATTCTCAAAATGCTAATGTATCGTTGAAATAGATGACAGGAGCTTACATGGTTATTTTTGTTCATCTCCAGCGGCAAATATCAATAATTGATTCTTCACTACCTGAGAAACGAATACAGTTTTACTTTGTTCCCGAAGACTTCACAGATTATTTCGGGTTTTTGTTGGACCTAGGCATTAAACTGACGTACATTCTCGTTCAAAGAAGATGATTTATGAATGTCGTGGCGAACTATTTTAGCAAGCACTTTGATATATATCTTTGTGATGAAATGATTTCTGAAGCATACTGACGAGTTACATGGTATTGTTGATTAATGCATTGGAAAAGCCAAACAGTATGCAGAAAATATTTTTAAAAAACACAAACATACATGCCACACCTATGCGGAAAAATTGCCCAGAAGTAACACAGGAAACAGATAAACTGTAAATGCTACTAAATGCAAATCTGTAAAGTTGAAGTGAAGTAAGATACTCGGTACCAAATGAATACTAAAACATAACCGTGTGACACAACGTCGCCGGAATTCATTTAAATGTTGTCATTTATGTAAACTCTATTTTAATTGTACATTCGTCACTGAAGAATAGTCTTGCTTCAATTATTTCGAACATCAAAGAATGCAATTCTGGAAATATCTTGATGTGACCTGAAGTTACGACAAATTCACAATTTTCTGTGACTAGTTGAGATACTTTTTCGGTTGTTTTATCAACTTATTGCATGGAGGATTTCATCATGAGCTGACATCAGTTAGAGAACCACTGGAAAACCTTGTAGTACTTGACAGCTGATTCGTCCTATTTTGAGACTCTTCATCAGTATGCACCGACCGACGGGGTTCGAACCCAAGACCCTCTGGTTACAAGATGAACTCGTAGACCATTGAGCCGCTGGGACCCAATCCAATGGCCCGTGAATTCTAACTTCTGCCGCTTCACAACATAGTGCCAGCATTTCACAATGTCTTCTTCGATGAGTCACTGCCTCATCTTGAACCTGCTGTACTCTAATGGTCATGGCTTCCCACTAGAACTCCAGGTTAGCTGCCTGAATAAGGCCAGTCGCTAGTTAGCATCAGATTAATTTTCAATTTACGCTTGTGTTCACATAAAATTCCTTAATTTCTCTGTTATCCCTAAATAATTTCCTCTAACAACATTCGTGAAAGTATAAAATAGTATTTGCAATGAGGAGAGCGTTTGTCAAAAACAGAATAGCACAATCTATTCAAACGTCATTCAATGTTTCTACAAAGTGAGTGAAAACATCAGCAATGTAAAACAATTTCAAATAAAATTTATGAACTAACAGCTTTTGTAAGATGTTCAACCTAACATTGATGTAAAAGTTGAAAAGCACAATGTTATGCTTTGAATTTTGAATTATCGCCGTAAAAATTGCACAACACTACTGAGTGACTTATGTACTTGATTTCAAGAATTATTATCTAAGCGTTGACACGTATCCCAGAATCATCTTCTTGCCTAAGGCTGATTTTTGTGTGGTAAACAAAGGTACAGACGACATATTGGATAGTTTTTTGTACTGAAAGTCTCCTTCTAAGTCGACGAGCCTTTTTTTAGCAGACGTGTGAAATAATCAACACTTGGCAGTTACTTTAGAAAGCTTTGTGAAACTTTATTCCAGGTTGTCCAAGGTGAAAACCTAATTTTACAGTCCCATACTTATCTGTGAAATATAAGAACCGAGAGAAAGATTCCTTGTTAAAACAGCATAACTATGGTAAGTATTTTTTCAAGACAAAGGAAAAATACATTCAACGTAATAATGAAAGTCGAGGAGCTTCGCATTGCTTGTTAAATGTTCTTACTTCTTATTAATTTCAGAATTTCATCATAAACTGACATCAGTTAGAGAACCACTGGGAAACCTACTGGGAGTGCTGGACAGCTGTTTCGTCCTAGCTTGGAACTTTTCATCAGGCACACCCACCGGGGTTTAACCAAAGACCTCTAGTTACAAGGCGAGCTCGTGGGCCATCGAGCCACTGGAACCCGATCCAATGGTCAAAGCATGAATTCTAACTTCTGACAATTCAAAATATAGTGCGATCACTTGGCAGTGTCTTCGAAGATTAACTGCCCTCACCTTCGACCTGCTCTACCCCGCTTGTCACAACTTCTCACTAGAACCCAGGTAACTATCTACCGCAATAGGTCTAGTTAGTAGTTAGCATCAGATTAATATTTAGGTGTTAGTCAGCAGGGACTTGATTGGCTTCCATGGTCACGCCATATCCTGAATTGGCAATTTGTTGGAATTGAGAGACCTCTGAATCGGGTTCCAACGGCCGATGTCAGTTCATTATGAAATTCTGAAACCAATCAAATCCCTGTAGACCAATTCTTGAATTTCTTATCAGAATTATCAAAATACCATAGTGATTTGGTGTAGATATTTCTGAAATGAAATTATACTTACAGCTCCTCCATGAAAGTTAAGCTTAATTTTGAAATTGAATAAATTGTGATGTAACTAATAAGGTGCACAGTAAATTCTCGATATCTGACATTCAATCCCTTTATTACGACTCTAAATGTACACTAAAGTATTATGTAGTGCTTGTTTGTGCAAACAGACCTTCTTAATCAAATAGACGCATAGAATGTAAATTTCATCGTAGACCAACATCACATACACAGTCATTAAAAACCACAGGGCACTAGACATGTGTTTCGGCCATTTCAGTGTGCAGTTGCCATCCACCAGAGACTGAAAGCATGACAGCATTAAACGTTCGGTCACTTGAGCGGGAATTGAATTATCTCTCACTTTTGCCACTTCACGATGTGACTCAACCACCAGCCAATACCATCAATGAGCAGCTGTTCAGTGCTACCTGTTTTCTAGTTATTCTCCGGCTGATTTTATCTGGTGATGAAATCTGTAGTGAAATAAATCTAAAAGGGTACAGTTCATGCAGTCTAAGTTTATTCCGGCTCATACATCAATAAAGTGTAAGTTAGGTACTGACTTACAATATTTTGAAAAAAGTAGCACTAAAATTGAAAACGAATTACAAAGTTATGAAGATGATTCCATGCTGAAGGTGCCTATTACTACATTCATTATCATTTGATAAGACACTAAGTAGTGTCATTTTGTTTATTGAGATATGAATTCTACCAATCGCGTTTTCAATATGGCCACCATGCTAGGTGACTCGTCATTACGGCGCACTCAGAATTGTTGTTATCAGATGGTTGGAGGCAATCGGCAGGAGGCATTGTACCTTGGTTTCGTGCTAGTTGGCGCTCACCAGTCGGTACAGCGTATCTTAAATCTTGAAGGAACTCACGACCCTTCTGAGATTTGAAGCCTTGTCATCCAGTGCTTTAATCACAGACATTACCAATAAGCTATCAGGCTCGCAACTGACCTCCTGTAGGAGTGCATTAGATAATTTAACCAAAACAGCCGTTTAAAAACTGCCACCCCGCGATTCAATTCACGCTGGAGAAAGAGTCCAACTCCAAAATATGCTTTCTTGACGTCCAACTAACAAGACGAGAACAGGATGGAACACTGGAAAGATCTATCTACAGAAAATCGACGTGGAACGGATAGCTTACTAACTTTCACAGTTGGGTACTCCTATACACCAACGAAAGCTGATCCGTTCAATCAGCTTCAGAGTTCGCAGAATTTGTACTCCGGACACCAAAGAAGATGAACAGGACAATATCAATCCCCTTCTACTTAGTTTCTACCTATAATTGCCTCTGTTGCTACTCTGACCTAAGTTGAAACATTTTAGTCAATCATAATACGTCATCTAACTCACTAACTCAATCTAACCTCGTTTGCTGTCTAATTAACTTTGTTTCTATATTAGATCATTCTTGTATTACCTGATTAATTATCTAAACTTCACATAACTCATGTACACACACGTCTTCTCTTTTTCATAAAAAGTTTATTGTGGTATTGGTTTACAGCACTGGACAAAATTGACAAGTCATTAATTAAAAAGTAAATGTTTTTCCATCGACGGGAAGGATTTGACAAAGATTACTTCCATCAGACCTCTGCAGACATTTATCAACACCTACTTTCATTGGACCTATATTGAAGATCGAATGGCTGGCTACCCAGAAAGCATTAGCGAATAGAAACTGTGGGAGTAAATTTATCAACAGCCGACTGCTCAACAAATACGCATACGTTGAAGAGGCCGTTAAATGATATCGGGTGCAATGCAGGTCATCGCTGGAGTGGAATCCCAATAAAAAAGTGACGAGTGGATCGTCGGTGTGAGGATGACGTGGATGAGGCCATGTGGTGCGGAAGAGATGAAAGTCTATAGGTAATCGTGGCGTAGGCTGAAGAGGACAGCGAGAAATAGAAGAAAATGGAGATGTAATGCTGAAACGTTTTGTTCCACTCGGAACCTAAGGGAATAATTATATAAATACTCTTATAATATAAATATTTTTCACACTAACTTGAAGTAATTATCGGCTGAAATGATAATGAAAAAATTTTGAATAGCTTAATAACTCGATGGCACTTTTTATAAGCAACTACAGTCATCGTCAAATGGTATAGCAATAGTTTTATTAAATAATCGTAGTCAGAATATGGATGCCTATCTTGTTAACAGCCGATGACCAGTTTATATTTTGCATAATTTACTTCTATATGTCGCCTCATTTTTGTCTTCTTGTTTGTCATACCAATGCATACAAATTTGAAAACGAACAAAATAACTCACCACAGATATCTTCTAAATTGATGAAATCAATTATAAAGTTAATTAATGAGGGAGATAATTGCCAATCTATAGAACAATAAATGCGACTATGTTTGCTCACTGACTGATATCAGTTAGATGACTGTTGAAAGCCAGACAGTGCTAGATAGCTGTTTCATCCGAGTTTGGAACACTTCATTATATTACCCACTCATTACTCACTAGGGGACGTACAACAAGACATTCAGGTTATGTGGCTGACTTGTTGACTATTGATGTAACAGCTATCCAGTACTAACGGGTTTTCAATCGTTCCATAACTGATGTTAATCAGTGATCATACCAGAAACCAATCAAACCCCTACAGAGTCCTTCTTAAAGATGCCTTTTAATATTTGCTGGTTTATTTATTATATACAGAATTTGGAATATTCATACATTTATCTATCTATTCTTATTTATACATTTGTGTGATTAATAGTATGTTTGAGAATAGATTGTGAAAAGTGTATGCATGAATGAGGATAACAATTACTCAGGGTTTTAACCATTTAATTCTAACTCATTTCACTGAGACGCTTCGATTTCGCATGTCAGAAACTACACTAATTTTTCGTTATCACGAACGTAACTAGATTTTGTCGGTGTAAAAATATTAGCGGGATCAGTAAACTATGTTGCACACCCCTTTCTGAAGAGGCATTAAATATCAGACATTTAAGTTTGCCTTATGTGGCAAAGAAGTTTGTAATATTAAGGTGATATTTTTAACTTTACTTGGTCATGAACAGATATCAGTTAGCAAACTATAGAAAAGCATGAATTATATGACAGATTTCTGTCCCAGTGGTATACTTTCCAGCAGTATTCAACGGCGACCAACCTTTGGAAATCAAACCTAAAATTCCTTTTACATAAATCGTCGTGCTGTCACCAAACAGGTGTTTGAAATGCGACTTTTCATATATATATAATATATATAAGAACTGTCAGATAGCTGTTGGAAATCGACAGGAAGCCCTCCACCTAGGTTACGAGGTAGTTGGCACTCGTCAGCGAGGCGTATCTGCAACCTTGAAGGAACTCATTTCCGTTCTAAGATTCGAACCCTTGTCATCCAGTGCTGCAGTCGGAGACGTTACCACTGAACCATTCGGGCTCACGACTGACTTCCTGAAGAACTGTAGTTCAACTACTTTATTTAACTAGTTATTGTCATCATAAAATTAATCCTGTAGAGAAACCATATTTCCCTGCAAGTAAAAATGTTCAACGCGTGACATGATTATAGATTTAACTACCACTATGAATTAATTATAATCTCATTAACGAATGTGTCATCAATCTCAATGGAAATCAAGGTATAAATTTAACGAAATTTAATGAAAAACTTACCAATTTCATTCCTTTGAAAGCACGTGAGATAAATTTAATCATCGTATTCTTATATACTTCTAACGTTATTTATGAAAGTTAACAGGTGATTCTGTGATAAAACAATCATTTACTTTATTTGTCTTATCTTCTGGTGAGTAGTCTATGCTCGACGACTTTGGTTGCAGTTCGCACATTCTCTACGTGTGTTTATTTCACTTACATTGCCGGAAGTCTTATCGACGAAATGCATGGACTTGGGATACGTTCGCTGAAATCGCATCACCTACTTTTTCAGATTATTTTGCCTTGAGAAGCCAATTTCAAGGGAACAAGAGGATGGACAAAAGTTTGGGATGGCTGACTATCAAACGCCAATAGAATATGGATAGCATTTGGACGCCGGAGGAATATTTATCAATAGAATCTTTAGTATAAAACTGAGTTATATAAATTATAAACTGACTTTTATAAGTGCTCTTTTATGAACCAGTAAATCAAGGAGTTTTACAAAGTAATCTAATCCACTGTTGAATGTTAAAATTCATCTTCGAACCACTGGATAAATGTATTCCTATAAAATCCATCAGGAGTACCACACTGATCGACGGTAAAATATTCCAGCACTCAATACCATTATATCAAACCCAGAAAGTAGCCGTCTTCTCATCTTATACGCTCTGAAGGTTTCCAAAATCATTTAAGCATTAAATGACCTATCGTTAGCATTAAGAAAAGGCTAATTTAACATGGAATTCTAGAAAGAATACGCCATCGTGAGGAACAGTAAAGAATAGACACCAAAGTCATGTGGCCTTTAACCAACCATTCGAATCGCTCGACATTCCAAATGGGTGTTGATCATAATCTTCGTTGAAAGATTTGACTTCTGTGTTAATAGGAAAACTAGAATATCCATATGCGGTGGGATAATGACTTATTAAAAGTGTTGCCAGGCTGTTGATGGTTACAAATTGAGATGCAATCTCTGTTACATCAGAAAGTCCTTAGGAGTTGGTAATTTGTAATTTACAGTGATTTTTTAGAAACTTTCTCTACGACATCGAAACTCTACTTTGATGAAATATTGCGTATATGCCACAAACAGCATCTGCGACGACCAGTATCTGCTACAGCCGCAGAAAAAGAAAATGCTGAAATGTCAGCAGTAAAGTGGTATCAGCACTGTTGGGATATTGCCTCGCCAAATATCAGTGGAATTACTTCTGTAATTTGAGGAATTGGCATCATCGTTCACAATGACGAAACAGTACTTATTAAACAAAATATCAATCGCGGTAGGAGAAACGGCAGCTGAACTATATGAATCTACGGAAGGGCCTGGCAGAACGCATTTGAAACCGAGGTGCCAATGTTCTAATAATTTCACTCAGTCGAGTTCAGAGGTTGTTCGAAACTCAAACCATTAGACTACATTCATCGTAAAGTCATTCTCCCAAATTAGTGAATTCTATAATTGGAACTCAAACAAATTCGGGAACCATCCAAAAACGGACTGGGTTGGTGAACAGTTTCCGAAGTGGTATAAAATACAGCCACTTGGATGAATTTTTGTCTCACCATTGGTTTACTATGTCTAAAGATAACCTTATGAGAATATACAGGTTATATGAATTTAGAAATGGGCATATTAATTAAGTGAGGCTACTGTGTTGAATGAGGCTAATGTGTAATAACGATGTCCAAACAAGTATGAATGCGTGTGGGTACTTTGCAAAACCACTACCAGACGTCATTACATAGAAGACAAAATCTTAGTTAACCATAAGTCTACTTTACTTGAAAGATAATAATCTTGAATGAAGTGACTATTAAGGGGCTCCCATTCTGAGCAAAATTCAATCTTGCATCGACATGGTTTGGGTTTCCGTGAAAATTTAGCTTAGTTACGTTTTGCTATTGAAAGTATTAATGCTTACTTTGCTCCTTTCCTGAAAAAATAAAGACAATGAAATACTACAGTACAATACGTTTAGCTGACTATTCACAAGTATTGATTTTCAAAGACGTAAAAGCAAACTGATGTCAGATACACTGAGAAACTCATTGACTGTCTAACTGATTTCACCTATCAGTGGAATTGATATCATAAATGCCACTCATTCCATGGATTCCAAATAGAACACAGGGCTTCATCGCATAGCTGTTTGCATTGCACACTCCTTTTGACTTAGCCCTACAGATATTCAGAATCTCGCATTTTTTCTTCATATGGGCAACTCCATAGCGAGCTGATTCTTCTAAATTTGCAAACGGATTTTTCAGCCAAAGGTGTAAAGACATCAGTATTTTGCTTCGCTTTGCTTTTCATCTGAGCAAACCGTGTTTATCCAGAAAACAAGCTGTTCTATTCACTCTCTTATAGCTACCTATTGATGAACGTCTTTCGGAAATGATCTGAATGCAGGCATTCTGTTTTAAATTTAATTTTAATTTTGAATATAGCTTCATTCCACACCGTATTTTTGGTACAAGTATGGAATTTTCAACATGTGAAATCAGTAGCCCAAATTTTGCAGGTCGACCATTCATATCAGGTGTGTGTCGTCAGGGAATCCAACCCCGAACCATTTGCATGGTAGGCGAGAGTCCTAACGGCTGTGCGACCGACGCACATCTAAAAAGATTTTTAATGGATAATATTATGCGATGAATATAACTCGGAAAAGTATAATCTGTTCATGCAGGTGTATACGAAAAATAAAACAAACATTTAGTACAAATTGTGAACAATGCAATGATAATTCAAATGAACTGTCGTCAAGATTTGATAGAATAGTTCTGACATATTTGAGCGCCATGTGAGAAGTAGACATTTGTAAAAAATTATACTTGTATGTATCACTAATTAATAATACTTGGTCAAATTCCCGACTGTCTATATCTTTTTATGGAGGCGTTAAGAAATGTTTTACAACTGTTTACCCACACACACACACACATACACACTGTGTTTGAAGTGTTTAACAAAGGTAGACCAATATTTGTGTGAGTCCGAGGTCGAATTTTGATCACAGCTCATACAATTTTGTTTATCAAACTTGTTGATACTTGTTTTATGACTCATGATTGGACAAAGTTTTTGAAAACAAGACATGTTCCGTTTCTATATAAACCTCTGTTGTTATGTTAATTTCGATTAATTTCCCTGATGAAGTTCGGACCAGATTGACGAATGCAGGAAAACGTTGGAATTACTCATTTCAATCTCCCTGAGATTTTACAAATATAATTTTTTACAAACACTGTGATAACTTACACGCTCTCCCATATAGCTGAAACATTTGAATAATTTCACATTAGTGAATGGTTTAAATAAGCGAAAACGCAATAGGTCGATTACAGTTACTAAATTCTTTTCCATGACAAATAATAGAATATAATGTTTACGTTTTCTAGATCAGTTACAGGATTTCATCATGAGCTGATATCCGTTAGAGTAGCACTGCGAACTCAACTAGGAGAATGAACAGCTGTTTCGTCACAGTTTGAGACTCTTCAGCGGTACGCATCCATCGATGTGAGAATATGGGGCAACCTTGTAGAAAAATAAGCCACTGTGACCCAATGGAGTTCAAGCCCAAGTGGTGTGTACTGATGAACATTCCAAATCTTGGAGGAATCAGCTATCTGAAACCCTCAGGTTCTCCAATTGATGTCACCTCATGATGAGGTCCTGTAACCAATCAATCACATCCGTACAAATCAATACTTGAATTTTCTAGATTAGTTGGAAACTGACTACACATAATCTGAGAGCTACTGAGTGAATTTTAACTGCATTCGGCTATTTATTATGGTATGGTATTGTAAAATGAAATCGCTTAAATTCTAGCGTCCAGCACCAACCAAAAAGAATAACAACACTGTGAGAAGAGAAAGATTTCAGTTGCATGAATCATGAATAACTTTCATTCATTCAAATTGCTGACAGAATAATTAGTTTGATCACAAAATGTCAATGAACAAACTTTTTACCGTTCCCATTAATAGAACTTAATCTATGCCTACCAAACGATTAGAATGCACGAATGAAATCCAGTGTGTAATATATAACTCATTAATGCAGCCTAATGAGGAGAAGAAATGTCTTAGCTGCATAAAACACGAGGAATAATACAAGTCTAGTTTGGCTTAATACCGAATGAATAACTTTAGCACTGGTGAGACACATTGATTGTTCAGTCAGTTTTATGTCACAATAGACTGGAGATGGATATGTCTTGTTCATACAAATATACGAGACTTCAACACAGACAGATCTTAGCACCACAGCTGGGATTAGGTTACAGAAACATTAGGCGAGAATGCTGTGTAAACTAACCTGTAGTAAGCAGAACAAAAATAGCACAAGAAATGACTCTCATTGTTAAAAGTAAAGTGAATTGTAATTTGAATTGACGTAAACCATTATATACTGTGAGAAATAAATGACACGTGATTGTATCATAGCGTGAAAAAACAACGTGATCACAATCATAGAATATTAAAAAGGCAGGTAAACATATAAAAACACGGATCAGCTCATCTACAAATACAGACAATATCATTACCATCTAAAACTGTTTATTTGAGCGTATCATCATTAGACAAAAAATGATCAATGCAAAATGAAATTAACCTAGTGAAACAATCAAAGATCTAACGCAAATCTAATCATTCCCCCTCGAAAAATAGTTCGCGATTCACTTAAGAAGACTGACGAAACACGAAGGTTTGAGAAAAACAAGATACCTAATGCATTTATGAATTTGATTGTATTTCCGTAGGCCTCTGTCGTTTCTCCCTTACCATTATTTGTGAGGATACATCTTTTGAAGTTAAGCTAACACCATATGACATTCCTCAAATAGCTTGTATGTGAGAACTGACAATCGATTCATTTCTGAATAGATAGGATAACAATGAATGAAAATGTCCTATTTAGAATCCAGTTAGTATTGTGGTGATTCGTCATCACAAATAAAGTTCAGAGGAACAAATGAGAACCCTCAGCAGTCCTTGTATAACAGCTTATTTTCACACGATGAACACCATCACCACACCACTATTAAATGTTGAGCAAACAACTGGGGAAAGGAAGATATTAATTCACATTTGTGAACCAAAATGTGAAGTTAAGACACTGTTCATGTGGATGAAATCAAAAGCCTTGAAAATGTGATGGCAGGAAACACTAATGATCCCTGAAAGCATTCTCGAAACGTAGATCATTTTGAAGAAATTGGAAAGCAATTGGATAATTGCTCAACATTTCATAGAATTGGGAAACGAATTCAACTGTGACATGATTAGGTTTCGACGAGTTGATCACGGAATGATGTCAGTCAAAGAACCATTGTAAACCAAGGAGTAATGGACAGACAGCTGTTTCATCCCGCTAGTTTGGGAATCACCGACAGTACACACCCACTGGGGTTCGAATCCAGGGCCTTCCGGTTACAAGGTAAACTCATATACTATTCAGCTACTGAGATTCGACTCACTGGCCCATGTTTTCTAACTTCTAGCAACTCGTGATTTCGCGCGACCACCAACAAGTGTCATCGGTGTGAAATCCATCCTCACACTTGACTGGTTGGATCTTACTATTCACGACTTCTCAAGAGAATTCCAGGAAACTCCGTCTTAAAGCAAGTCACTAGGAAACGTCATAATAATTTTCAAGAGTTTATATGTAAGGATCAGATTTGCTTGGACGAGTTGATTACGGATTGAACTAGGTTTCACATAAAATAAGATTCATTGCAATGGCTCTATAGACATGAAGGAGTCGTGAACGTTTGATTAAAAGTGAATGGCACATTGTTGGCTGATAAATGGCGATTCTTGATGAATAAACTAATTAATTTTCATGCGAATATAACAGCACGATATTTTATGTCTTCCCTGGATGATGAGACTTAGTATTTTATTCCACACTAGTTCTTGCAAAGTGAGGCGAAAGGTGCCCTTTCTGGCAGCCTGACGAGGTAGCGGTTCTTCCAATCAATAGGTACCTTTCCTTCCTTCAACCCTTTTGCAATAATGGCGTGAGCACATCTGCCACAGTCTCTGGGTGTGTTCTTAGGGCTTCGGAGACAGTTTTGTTCGCTGCCTTCCCCATTGGACTTCAGTAGCTTGAACGCATTTAGAATTTCTGCCTGCGTTGGAGGATTGTTGTTAACTGGTAGGCGATTCTGTGAGTCCTACTGGCAATGATGGTATTTCTCGGCGAGTTGCAGGTGATGGTCGACTCAAGAATCCTTTAAAGCGATTAGCCCATTGTTTGATTTATTTCCCCTGCTTGGTAATCACGTTTCCGTGAGCATCTTTCATTGGTGTCATCATCCGCGTTAATCCATTCCAAGAAAA